CCTCACACTAATCGAATTATTCGTGCGGCGCATAAATGCTTGTTCCCTCCTACTATCAATTTGTATGTGTTTAAATATGAGTAAACAAATAAATATAAAGAAATACTAAACAAACGAACTACATAATAGAAACAGAAACTCTGCTTGCTGATGCTTATAAATATCCTGTAAGATTACATTCCCAATGGAATAATGATATAGTTATGTTGAAGGATCAATAAGAAAGTGTGTACGCGTGATTAGAACACTTCACAAACGAAATATACTCGCATGATAGATAATGACAACATAAATAACGATACCACCATTCAAATGATTTGAATTAAAGATATCTGACAGACACTTATCGAAACAAAGCTAATGCACTGCTTACTATTTGATAATAGGGACTCTAACGTTTTGAAATTAATTCATTTAGAATTATGATCCAATATATTTGGCAAGAGCTTGTACAAACCGGTCGATTTTTTGCGTTCGCTATTTGTTGCCTTGTTACGAATAGATATAGAAATTATCATCCTCAGACGATCCTTGTTATAAATGAGGGAAGGACATTATGTATTTAAGTAACGTTATTAATTTTTGAGAACGACGAAGCTCAACAGAAAAAGTACAAACCAAGCTATTTTGAAGTACCGTAGATTTGTTTGTGGAAAAAAAACTTTATAACAACCTGTTAGATTATGCACAGATAAGAAAAATACCAGATTTTAACAAAATATACCGTCACCCTACATTTTGAGGTAACACACGTCCACGAAATTCCGCCACTCCAACATCATTAGTGATCGAAATCCAATTTCCAACAGAAGGATCTGTAAACAAGAAAGCTTGAAGAGGGCTTTACATGTAACAAGTGGGTAGTGAGGTTAAAAGGGGCTCGAAATGAACAGTCTTTTATGACCTATTTTTGTAGGGCTCCCGCATAGGTTGTAAAGATAACCCTCTGGAATTATCACTTTGTTGAGATGGTCGGATATTCTAAGATGTAGCAGGTCATGATACGAATGTCTCTCAGCCCTTTGTATCTTAATCAAAAAACTAGCGTTTTTCCCATTCTTTTGTGTAAATGTTTGTTATTTGGGCTGATTTATAACCTGGTAGCGCTAGTGAGATATCACGGCGACCAAAACAAATCATCCAGCAATCTGGTCATTGAATGCCAAAGAATTTACGGATACTCATCATGGTCAAGAACATGCAACGCGCAGCATCCGCTTGCATGCCATGGATTTAGTCCAGTGTAAATATGTTCGAAATAACAATCATGTTTACATTCATGTAGTCAGTGAAATTTTCATATTATGATGTAATTTTCATTTTTAAAAGACTGCACTATGCCGCGAATTCATCTATGACAATAAGTTCTATTCATCATGTCAGAACGTATAACAAGTTGGAATGATATCCAAAGTAGTGATTGTTTTGGAAGTAGACTGACAGTGAATAAAGGAAAAAGGTATGAAGCTAAGTTCAGTTCTTGCAATTGTGCCGTTAACCATGTTTTGATGTCCAAAGACTATGGTCATTAAGCTTGAACAATATAGTTCGTCCTCTGTTTTGTAAATCGTATTGCCCCATATCTTTTTAGGTTTACAGAATTAATTATCTATATTTAGCTACTTTAAGTAAAACGTCTATTCAAACGAAGCACATATACGACACCATTCAGGACACTTTTTAGTAGAGCATAACTGCTTGTCGAATAATTCGGTTTAGTCAATGTAATCATAACAATTCCTTCTCGAATATCAGTCTGTTACATGTGGTATGCAGTCTATAGGCAATATCAAATTGTTATAGAGGATACAGTCGTTACCGTAGTAGGTTACTCAGTGAAGATGATATGTTATAAGCTACATTCGCCATAGAATCATGAGGAATAACTCTTCTCACATATAAAATGTAAATAATATTATTAAGACTCGTACTGTAAATATGTAAATTTGCACGCTTTATGGATGTTGAGTTTCAACGAGCAAGTGTTGGTCGAGAATAAATCCACGTACAGTTAAGAGCTTCCAGAAACCGTCATCTTATTTCCTTCCGAAATAGCTGAAGCATTAATGATGGCGCAGGACAAAGTCAACCGTTTCATATGTGTTTTCGGTGGCATATTTCGGAAGGACCTGAAACGGCCTGGCAATGGGTAAGATTTGATCTGTTAGGAAGCGAATATGACAACAGTTATTTATCCTTTCACTCTAACTGTGGCCCTTGTTTTTCTTTTCTGACCAAAACAACAGATAAACTCAGCATACTGATTGCGAATTTCTAGCTTTTTATCGTTCAACTTGCTTTCACGCGACAACTGATCTAATAATACCAAATTTTCAAATACGAAACCCTTTCAATTGTTCGATAGTATTTTCAACTTGGTTCTGGGTTGTTAGGTAATCGGATCTCATAATATTCTCGTATATAACAGTGGTATTCATACCAGGACACTCAGTATTTCTTTTACTCGTCGATGGATGAGATGAGACCAATACTGACTTTAGTTTTAAAAAACGATTACGCTGGAGTCTGGTATCTAGGTGGTAAGGAAACTATATACAAAGCAACACTAAAAACGAAATGGATTAACATAACTCACGTAAGCATGCCGGAAAGAATATACCGACATGAATATTAGCAGCAGAAGACTGATTAAAAATATTAGTGCTAACATTAAGAGTATGACGTAAATTACCGAATTTCTGCCCGATGAAGGAATAAAATTTGCAGCGTCACGAAAAAGCTAGGGGGAAATCACAAGATTAGGCACCCCGACTACCACTGCTTACAAAGATGGCGAAATTGGTAATTCCCGTTTTATTCTGAATGGTCGCTAAGTAGACTGCTAAAATAGGGGACTAGAGTTGGGTTTTTTTTAGTTAACTGGCCTATGGGGTATGAGTCAAACTCTGCTTCTCACACCCACTATAACCAATATATTTTTGGTATAACTTTGTATTGTACAGTCATTAGCGTAGCTATAGTTCCTAGATACGATGGAGTAGTGATCCATGAGAGGTATAAACTTTGAGGTGTTATTTTGATGTAAGCTGGTTGGTCATGGTATTCCTATCCAACCCAGGCAGGCCCCCAGTCATAGACACGAATCACCTATGTTAGTGATCTAAAATATCATAATATAGTTGTTATCCGTTAACTCCCATATGTTAAAGAGTCCATATTATTTCAGAAACCTCACAATTCTGTCAGTCCGGGGCGCTTTTTGGGTAGTTCAGTTTTCTTCTTCATTGGATGTACTCAGATACATGATAGTGATATGAAGCATTTTGGCAAGAGCCATTAAAAACGTGTGATCGATTGGAAGAGGTTTCCCGCTAACAAAATTTCTTTTAACACCTGAATTATTTTTATGCTCCATTAAAGCAAGAAAAAGCAACCTGACACTTGTCTATAAAACTTGGAGTGTCTTAAGAGGATCTTGACATGACATGTTCCGATATCTTACAGTAATACTAACCAGAAGACTAATCAGGGCCAGGGTCATATTTGTTGAAGGTGGTGTAGAATTCTGGCCCACTTCCGTTATTAGTACCTCTCTCATAATAATAAACCAAATACCGAATTTTAGATTTGTCATGATGTGATCACCTAATGTTTAATATCTCATGTGGAAGTCACATAATTGTCTACACTGACTCATCATATCGTACCAAATAACAAAATGATACTCAGTACTTCTGAAGAACACATTTGAGCTGAATGCAGGATAATATATTTAATGTGAGTAAAGACAAGATATACAGAATGACCACGCCTGCAAGACTGAGCCATGCCATCCAATCGAACTGAATTTGTGTTCACGCGTTCTCCATTGTCGGCCTCTTTTTCTTGACAGTTGGTGAACATATTTCTATCCAGCAATTATATGCTCGGCTTCATTGGTCGTTCGATTAGGGTTCAGTGTCGCTACAAGTTCGTCACTGTTGATTAACTTGCAAGCAGTTGTTTGATTAATTCGAGTGCATTATATCTGAACACTCCAAATATTTATCTGTTTTGTTGACTATCTATCTATCTATCTATCTGGCTATCTAAATATGTCATAGGTATTCGTATTTTGACAACACCTTTACACGTAACACCTACATAATCAACGTATACGAAGCTAGTCAAATCGGAAGTCAGAAATAGAGGGGTTCAAAAATTTGTTTGTAAGGCTATCTATATGTCGAGAGGCGTTTGGTCTAAGCTGACTAGCAGCCTTGAGTAATGCGTAGCACGGCGTACCCACTCGTGATCTGGTATGGATGTGTAACCAAGCGCCTTCACTTAAGTGTGTCCAGTAAAATTATTGAGTTCTGGGTCACTGTCGGAAACTTACGGAGCTACATATTTCAGGGATTTGTTTACCACTACGCGTCTATCCACCTATATATTTATTTGTCTATCTGTCTGTCTATCTATTTATTTATCTATCTATCTATCTATCTATCTATCTATCAGATAATCACACTACATTACTATGAAGATGTCTGAATATTAGATCCACTTTGAGTAGCTGACACCACGTAGTTTAAATTCTTTTCAGTAGTATACAGATTAGACCAGTTTATTGCAGTTCTGGATTTACTTCACTACATCACAATTGCTAGACATTATATTGTCAGAGTTATTTCTATTCTTATACAGTTGATAGTAATTCTTGGTGTCAGTGTCGATATAAATCCAATCCAATTACAAAGCGGTCATAATTTGGTGTTATTTCACTTGTATTCAGTAATGTCTACCTAGTCTTATTGTGGTTGTCTATTACTGATATTTAAGCTAGTAAAGCAGTTTTTCAACATGTATTCAGGAACGCTTATCCCCTAGATGTTACCCAATTCACTTCTCCTCGGTCATAAAGTGTTATAATAACGAATATAACACATCACTAAAGACCTAGAACTGTACCCAAACAACAGGAAGTGAACACAAAAATATCGTCTGAAGATGCCGCAGGTATTGGGAGTTTCATAACACTTTATCCAGTAACACCAATAATTGAATCGCGCCCATCCAGTGAAATCAAAAGTCAGGAGCGAGGAGATTCGAAAATACATTTGATAGGTGATCAATATATCGAGAAGTGACTGATCCAATTTGGCTAGCGGTCGCACAAGAAGTTGAAAACGGCGTTCTCACTAGTGACTTTGTGCGGATGTGACCGGACTCCTTCAGTTAGGTGGATCCATCGAAACGAATGTGGTCAACATCAAATGTCGAAGACTCGTAGAGCTATCGATTTTGCGGGTTTATTTACAAGTCTGTTCGTACAGTCTCGACACGAAGATATTGGATATTGGAATCTCGGACCACTTTTTCAAACAGTTACGACAAGGTAATGGCTCGAGATATCTCGGTATACTTCATTAGACATCAAGATATTTGAGCTAACAATCAAATAGCATGGATTTTTATATAAAAGTCGTAACATTCGATGCAAAGTAGAGACCCTTAGCAACTTATAAGTTACAATACATTTGATTCAGCGATGTTATTAACCTTCTGAGTTATTTTTATGTCTAGGAGCTCAGTTAACAGTAAGTGATTTCTTCATCGTGTCCTAGCACTAGCGCTTTTCTTTATTATGATGTCTACAGAGTGGTGAAGCAGCGTCTGAAAATATACACCTCCCGCTGACAACGTTTGGTCTCAACTAACCAAATGAATTGCCCCTTGCATTTATTCCTTCAAGATTTTCTAGGTACTGTTTCGTATTTTGTTACCCTTGTGGACCTGTCTAAAGCTCCATAGGTTTATGTCTTCTCACTCTTCAGGATCCCTTTTTTGAAAATTTCCCCAAAATTAACCTCTGTCCAGTGTTAAGAACTGAGGTTTGGATCCTTCTACTTCAAGACAATGTATATTTGCAATAGTTTGACAAGTCTTCCAGGTGAAAGTATAGCTTTCAACTCAGTCAATTGCAGGTTTTTAAACTAACGGTTACGCGGTATGTGTGGCGCACAAAGTTTCATTTCAGTTTGTAAAGGACAGGAGTCTTGATGGCCTGTGTGACTCCTGGCAATGATGGTCTCTCAGTTGGTCCAACCTTCTTTTGAAAGAGTCGGTGGATGGAGCCCCAACCACGTGCTGAGGTAACGAATTCCTCTCGTTGATGACTCGATGAGAAAGTCAATATTCAGCTGACAAGTAGTTTGTCCTGGGCTTGTGAACTTTTTTGGAGTGTCCTTGTAAATTCTCTGCTTTGGAAGACAAGAAAAATGAGGGCATATCAGGTGCAGACTTATCACTAAGCAATTTGAAAACTAATCAAATCGCCTCTAGATTTTCGATATGACAACGGGAATAGGTTTAGCTTGACCAGTCGAGCATCATACTGGAGTTTCGCTATTCCGGGAATCGGCTTAGTTGCTGTTCTCTGAACCTTTCCCAAAAGCTAACTGTCTTTTTGTAGACATGGGCTGTCCGCTTGTATGTAGTACTCAAGTTTGGGATGCACGAATAATGTATGCAAAGTCAGAAAGGTTTTAGCGTCGACATGGTTAAAGGCCCTACGTATCACCGATAAGGCTCTAAAACTTTTGGCGCCTATTGCACGACAGTGTGCAGTAGTCTTTAAGTCTTGGCTAACAGTGATTCCTAAGTCATTGTATGTTTGGACAACAAATAGCTCAGTGTTATTCATCCTGTATGTATTTGTACCATGATGACTGATATACATCACAATACACTTGGAGGTATTTATTTTCAACTGCCAAGTTTGAGACCATTCAGATAGTTTCTCCAGGTCATTTGGGAGTTCTAAGCTATCACCTTTTCTTTTTATCGCTCTCCATATCTTGACATCGTCAGCATATAGCAAGACTGGTGATGATAGTAAACGAAGAAGGTCATTTACATACAAGAGGAATGACACTGGCCCCCAAACTGTACCCTGAGGCACTCCGCTGAGCACAGTCACTCAGCTAGACAACCTGGAGTTCACTCGTACTCTTTGTTGGCGCCCAACTAGAAAGTATTTTATTCACATCAATAAATTCTCTCCAACCACGACATTTCTTAACTTATATAACAGCCGGTTGTGCTGAACCTTGTCAAAAGCTTTGCGAAAGTCAATATAGGCTACGTCTACAGGTAACTTTTGGTCCTTAAGGGCTCGTCAGTTTTCACGAGCCACTAATAAGTTTGTGAGACAAGAATAACCTATTTTAAAACCATGCTGCTTCTCCAAAAGGATCCGGTTTTCATAGCTTCTTATGAATAATCTTTTCTAAGATTTTAACAACCACACTAGTTAGGCTAACGGGTCGGTAATTCTCAGGCCCTTTTGGCATAGCCCAAGGGATTTGAGGTGCGGTAACTTTTAAGTATAAATTTCGAAATACGTTTCAAGCCGTTTCGATTGAGGACTCTGGCTCCATTGTCCAATCTACTGACGATGCTGAGTGCATGATATCTTACCATAAAATGTTATTTAATTGTAATATGTATTGTGATTCCCCTGTTTTAGCCCTTGCTATAGGATGCTTCTTTCATCATATTTTGTAGTGGTGTATTAAAAGTTTGACTTACTAGTACGTCCCTCTATAACTTTTGAAAAATACTCCCTTAACCCCTATCAAAATGTGATTACTTCTGTGAGCTAATAGTGTACAGGACTGCATTTTTAAGAGGTGAAAATAATTTCAACATACTACAGTGACTTAAGATTAAGTGTGATAACTATTTTAGTTCATGTAATCATTAACTATGTTTTAGCAATGTTTTGTTGGCACAAATTTTCACCAACCAGAAATTCTAGACTTCCTTACTGCGCTCTACATAATACTTGTAATCTCTTAATAAATACCCTTAATAAGATGGATTGCGATCCGTCTCTGTTGCCTATCTAAATTTGGAGTGTAGTGAATTTCCATACATTTCATTCGTTTCTCTAGAACCATGTTTAGCATGTTTCTGTTCTTAATGTTATCCTTCTCCCTGCTTCTTTTGTTAGTTTCCTCCCCTTCTCTTTGTGGCAGTGTGGTGATTTCGGACCAGCACACGTGTACCAGGTCTTTGTTGATGTCTACCTGATAACACCTAGCCAAATCCGTAGGCTTATATTGTTAGTTATAGTGTTTTTTTACATATATCAAAAACACGTATGGATTGGTTAGCCAAAAACTACTTAGTACTTCTGCTAACAGACGCAATATGTAATCACCACCTACTGCTGTCATAGTCCCTTGATAATGAAACATTACTGGACATTCTTGTTTTCGAGATTTGTCCATAGAAAGGTTTTGTCACTGCATTTGGTGGTAATAATGTTTCTTCTTAAATTAAATTAAAAATAAGCTATCTTTATAAATAGATTTTTTGAGTAATCTGGTTAGGCGATGGGCTTTAACTCCTTACCATAGTTTTTGCAGCGATAGTATTCTTGTAATAAAATCTCATAAATAGTTTCATGACCCATCACATTGTACAGGGGTGGGACTATCGAGCGTTACTTTGAGCTTTTCGACAAAATGCACGTAGTTGAATGTAAATTTTGTCACCCTCCCACAGTGCCTTAACTGACCATTAAAATGGTACACAAATCTAATTAGTTTGTTTTTGCTTAGTTTATTATTGATAGCCTTCTCCAACTGTAACTAATAAAATCCCTTATAATTCTAGATTTGCCAGTGGTTCTAGAATTTACGGCACATAAAGTCATATAACAACTTCTAGTCATACATCTTAGAAACGCACTACGTTGCCGTTGTAACACTCGGTTTTCTCGTCCATATGAATGGGACGCCAATTTACTTTAGCCGAATATCTACACTAGATATCCTCTCAGTGTCTATTCTACAGGACTTGAACACAACTCAGATCAAAAATACGTGACTCGTCCAACTAGAGCGTAAGTATAGTCCCACACCAAAAACCGACAACAATCACAATAATAATAAGGGTGGGAAAATATATAACTCATCTAGTACCTGTTAGACTATCTACTAGTCTGACTAAGCAAACAACCAATCATTATCTTCCCCCCCACGCATCATTTACCTACCCTAGAGATTTTTAAGGTTGTTCGTATGTAATTTCTCCAATTAATTTTTTACTATCACTTTACGGCATAAATTCTAAATACAATATTTTCTCCTTTTGTGTTAGAAGTCGTACCATTTTTACCGTATTATGTCGACTGGGCTTGCCCTTGGTTTCGCTGTCGAGGGTGCACCCTGGCACTTGGTTTCTCATTTATTCCCAGATAAAGTTGGTGGGCGACCAGCTTGGCTAGCTCTTCAACACTTACCATCTCCTAGTGAACTAAAGTGTCCAGTATGTTTGAATCCAATGTGTTTCCTCTTACAGGTATTGTCAGCATCCTAACTACTTATACTGCTTAGATATACTCCCCTCTATCTGAAAAACCTGACTGTTTTCATCGGATGTTATTTTTATTTATGTGCCGAAATAGTGAATGTCATTATAAGCCTGATCATGTACCATTCTATGTGTTTCGATCGCAGTTATCAAGACAAAATTGCTATTACAGGTAGTTATGTATTTTGTCGTAATCCATCTATTATTCCGAAGCTTCGAGCCCCCTGAGAACGAATTTCCCAGTCGCGAAATGTTAAACTCGATGATAAAGGCTAACTCTATTCCATGGGCTGGCAAATATTCATCTATCTGCCCAATATGTGGATGTAAAGCAGACAAAACTTGTTCAAAGTGTAAAATCACTTCTTATTGTTCTAAAATGCACCAGGTACAGCGGTTTTACTTATCCGATTAAACATATTTTCTTTTATTGAATTAGGTTCTAGACTGGAAACGACACAAGTTAGAATGTGGTTCGAAATGTCACGATTTCATGTTATTATTCGAACAAAATAGTTTCTTACTTCCTGAGTACCGTTTATGTTCTGAACCTGCAGACAACTTTTCTTCAAATGATGAAAGTACTTCAGAAGAGGTGGAAACTGACACTGAAACTGTAGACCTGGGACTTCCAAAGTAGATTAGTTGTAATGTGACTTTCTGTTATGTACAAACGTGGATGATAATTTAATCCACTACTTTTATCGTTTTATCAAAATGTGACGGTTTTACATGACACTAACCTTTGTACTTGCTTGTTTGACAAATATTTGAAGTTATTAGGGCAAAAATTATGGACTTCGCCTTTTTTCGTGCTGACTTTTCAACTGTGTCTGAAATCCTAAAGAAACTCATGCTAAATTAGTTTCAAATAAGTGATACTTAACCCCAGTTCAAAGTTATTATTAATATGCTACTCTGTATACAATAGACTTATTACATCATAAACCATACCAACGCATTACACTCATAGACGCTTAGTGTTAGTATCTACCTAATAAAACCAAAGTAAGCTTTGTTAAGACCACTGACCACTGGTTTCACAGTCATTGCCCTGATTTTAAAATCACAGCCCTTAAAATTGTATAAAACATCCAACAAATTAAGATAAGAACATGGAAGACTGGTTTACATATTAGAGGAATTAGAATAGTGAATTGAATAGTATTAAGTTAGGTCGAGCATTATTAGTACGATTTATACTCCATTAATTAATCTGATACTGACATAGTTTACGCTGTATACTCAAAACATATTGCGTTTAAGATGGTTTGATAGCAAAGTACTTTCTTGGATTTATTAATTGTTGTTAAAAAGACAGCTAATGATGCAATGAAGAACTTCCTGCAAAAAGTAATTGTGGGTTGTAAGAATGTGGAAAAAAACAGGGCTAATGATATCAACATGTGATGACAAAACAAGTTATATAAAGATATGTCGAAAGGAACATTTTGATTTGTGTTTCACGATATTGTCCAGTTTTTCATGAAGTAATATTTACGAAATAATCGTCATATGGTTTAAATTTATGTCATTTACCTACATATTTTTATGAATTTATTGGCGACTAGGGGAAATGTGGAGAAACTTTTTATACAGTGGTCAATAACTTTTTAGAACCAGCACTAAATCGCACTATAAAGTTGTGACTCAATCGTTTAGGTATCCGGTTTTCAAATATTGTCATGAGTTTGAGTACCGTTTCAGAGACTTTATCAGTCTCATACAATTTACCAAGCACTTCCTGTATATGTTGGGCTTACACATATCCAAATCAATGTATCAACTTAGCAGTAATCCTATACAACTTTAACCTTAGCCTTTAATCCATGCAATAAGCAGGTTTGTCTATTTCATAGCATATCTGTCTTCAATTTTATTACAGTAATGTTCTTTTCTGTGAATACTTTCAGCCATTTTCGAGTAAAGACAACAGCTTTATTTCTTGCCACAAAAATGAAAGTGTGGTTTATCATTTTCACCTAGACGAAACACGCTAAATACTCAGGTGATATGTAATAACGTTTTCACCTTATACGTTATCCTTCTGTTTCTGGTGTTAGTAAAAATCGTTTGTTTGTTTAATGTTAACATTTTTCAGTGATTCTGAAGTTAAAGCGCTTGAATTTATAGCCAAGAAAGAGACTAAAGAAGAAGCCAGATTTAGAATGTTTAGAGAAGCAATGAAATCGGCTCCTGACCAAGTAATTACATATGTATATTCTGTGTTAATGTGCCGTTAATTGATTCAACCTAGTACTAATTTCTGATTCATAAATCCTCAGGTTATTTTTCTTGATACTGTTTAAAATATCCAGTTAAGTTCTAGACATTTTCTTTGCGGTTTAGTACAGTTTAGTTAACTCCAAAAAATCAGTGTTGAAGTTATCCCTACACTACAAAAATCATTACATTACTGAAAGGCACATGTGTTGATCTTAGTCATAAGACTTTACTTTACTTGAACACATAAATATTGGTACAAAGGAGCACCGAATATATATGCGCCACATAAGTCACTTGATTTGTGTGTGGGCTGGGATACTGCTCGGGTACCAAAACCGAAGCAGCTAGTGTGGATCTTACGGTGCTTCGACTCAGCGAACAGATAATGGAAACTGTCTGTGTAGCTATGCTCGTATAACCGTCGATTTTTGGGGAACACCAATTTTGAACTTGAAGAGAAAAATCATCTGACGTGGAGACCCTGACAATTGACTCATCGATTAACTCAGATAGATCACATTGCCATTAGCCATCATTGAAGGGGCTCGATAGAAGACTGTCGCTTACTATGGAGTACATTTTTAGACTCGGATCATGTTCTAGTTTGAGAACGTATTTATCTACGTCTTACTGGACATAGAAATGCTACCGTAAAATACCCCTTGGATTTCAACTAATTATGAGGAAGGTAAGGATATTTTTCAGGGACAAACGGAGGAGATAGTTCACCGTAAAGGTGATATCCACCCCGAGGCAGCTTGGTATGATATTCAAAAAGCTTTGGAAACAACAGTGATATATACTACTATTTTAACCAAAAGGTTTAAAAAATCAGTGAATTTCAGAGAGGTCGACAGAACTGCTTGGAAATATACCCCATCTGGCTCCAAGTACGCTAAAGTGCAGAGGCAACTTAAACGAACGCTGATAAAAACCTGCTTAATGATCGTGAGCATTGGTGTGTGGCGAAAGCAGAAGATATGGACAAGGTAGCGGCGATAGGTAACGGTAGGCAACTGTTCAGACTTATCAAGGAAACAGGTATTAAATATATGCTTGTTAGTGAAACTATCTTGGAAAGAGACTGGGCTATTGTTCTCTCGCGATCCAGGAGATTGAACCGAAGGGTAGAACACTTTAGGGAATAGTTCGAGTGGACTTCAGTACAATTCACTTACCCATTATTTTCATGCATTTTAAATGACGAATGGACATACATCTTTTAACTCTTGATGGTGCTGAAAAGGTTACAGGAAACCTGAAGCAAGGAAAAGCAACAGGGTCTGACGGGTTAACCTCTGAGATTTTTTAGAGTGGTTTTCCAGTTTTAACAGTTAGATTAACTGAAGTTTTATCCAAAATCTGAGAACTGGATGTAATCCCATCAGACTAGCTTTGATTACTGACCGTCCTAGTTTATAAGAAAGGACTAAAATCCTTTTGCGACAATCACAGAGGAATCAGTTTAACTAATTTAGTGTCTGAAATACTAGCCCCAATGATATTTCGACGTCTAACTCGAGTTTGTAATGAGCGAACCCCAGAAAAAACTAGGATGGTTTCAGACCTAGACGTAAATGTACAGATCAAATATTCTCGTTTCCGCAGGTTCTGGAAAATAGACACTTTTCGACGTCCGATGACAGATGTAGTTCTTGGCCTTAAGGTGGCTTTCGACTCTGTTAGTTCATGAAGTTCTGTGGGAGTGTCTCATCGAAAGGCATACTAAAGTACATTAACCTTGCACATGCTCTCAATTCGGGCACTACTAGTCGAGTCAGAGCTTATGGCGAACTGTCATCGGGATCGGTTACTTCAAGTGGTGCTCGGTAGGGTTGTCAGCTTCCTCCATTTTTATTTAACTTTGTCATAGACATGTTTTTAAAGATAACACTTTCATCGTCTGACTTTTCAGGGTTTGATCTACCAGGAGATTCACTTGTTGACTTAGAATACTCAGATGACATAGTTCTGTTTGGTGAATACGTTGATTAAATCCAGTCTTCCGTCCACCTTAAGCAACAATGTAAGCATATTTGGTTTGTGATTCTCCTCCTCCAAAAGTAGAATGTTGCTTCAGGACCGGCCTGCGTCTACTCCCGAATTAATGATGAGGAGTGCGTCAGTTGAGCATATCAACCGCCTCACTCATTTTAGGAGTTTCATCAGTCTTGATGGTCTGGAGTCTAATGAAATCTCTTTACGGATTCGAAAAGCTCGATCGGCTCTTTTGAACTTTCGTCATTTATGGCATAGGCGAGATATCCGTCTGCCAACTAAAGTGCGAGTATACTACACGGTAGTTCGCTCCGTTCTACTTGGTGGTTATGAAACATAGCCTTTATGAACAGGGACTATTCGTAGGTTATTGGTATTCAACCATATATGTCTTCGAAGCATTACTCATGTATTGTGAAGCCAGTGAGTATACAATCCATAGGTTACGAATGGGGTACCAGATAATAGTCGGAAGTTTATTGATGGGGTAGTAAATCCTCATCTGGTGAGGTGATTAGGACATGCTACGTATTCCCACCCACTGTCTACCTCGAACAGCGATATTGTCTGGTGTAGTGGTGACTATATGAATGGTCTTTGTCTTGCTCATGATTCGGACATTTCATACACGTACTAATTGTTGCTCTGGTTTTCAGAATGGGCATCAGTCTTGTGGCTAGCGAAGACAGGTTTCACCGTGAGGCGTTATAATTCCTCTTCCTAGAAACCATCGACAGCTTCAAACGGGCTGTATGTGGAGTTTGGTTTTCGACACAGTGTACTAGATGAAAGTCATAGATCAGTTTAAGTTGTCAATTTGCGAGTTTTCAGCTCCAATCCAGTTCAGTCCTGTTTGATGAATGGTCTAAAAATATATTGATAAGATGTCTTGAACCCCTAGACTACAACACAACATTAGTTCAGGAAGTCAAGTAGTCACTCTAATCCGTGTACTGAGTTGCTGACTCTGCAGTTAACGTCTTTTGAGTGGTCGTAATTAATGATTACAGATTTTGGTCAATCTCTGGAGTTTTTTTGGTGTAATAATTTCTCATCTTTCCCTAAGTTGTAGGCATATTATTGTCCCACCATATTTATTCTTACTCATTTCTGTTCGTTGTTTTCTAAGCTTCTCACTTCAATCGGTATTAATAGATTTTTATCTTTTTGAAGTGTGTTAACTCGTGACATTGTCAAGTCATGTGTTGTTTATAGGTATCTACCATATATATTCCTTATTTGTTCTTGTTTTTATTTAGGTCGTACGATTTCATAGAGGTGGTAAACCCATTTGGCTGAGTGACGATCCTGTAGAAGTTGAAAAATGTGAAGTTTGCGGTTCTGAACGTGTTTTCGAATTTCAGGTATGACTTTTAAAAACAGTTGAAGTTGATTTCGTTCCATGTTCTACGTTTTTAAAGTATTGTAGTTGACTTCAAACTAACCATATAGTTTTATGCATAAAAGTATGTCAATGAAAAATTTAAGTGATGTAATGTTGTCCACCGTATAATTGTATGGAAATCCAATAACATTATTAGAATCATTTATTTGCACAGTAATATATTTGATCATTATATGCCAATGAAATTAATGCTTTAATCCCAAATGTTAGTCAAGGTTCGCTTACAAAGGATTTGGGCGATATGCTTACTAAGACAGTTATTACAGTGTGATAGACTGTGTTGAGTGTGAACTAGTTGTAGACATCACGATTACTGGTAAGTTGGTTTAAGGAGTTAGTCGTCAACACCAATAAATCTAATCTTTCAACTATTTTTGAACTGTACACCACGTTTAAGCTCAGTATCTTTAAAGTCCCTCTCAACATGTACCAGGAAACAGACAAACTTGCATAGGATTCAAGAATGCTACTCTGTAAATGGTTTGTGTACCCTAATAACTCATACTCACGATTCAAATGAGTCACTTCTATTATTCGTAAAACATTTTTACAATTTATTTTTATTATTTATTTGGACGCATAAATATTGAAACAAATGTGCGCCAAATATATATGCGCCACACAAAACAATGAGAATTTAAGGAGAAGGAAAAAAGGTAAGGAGTGCAAAAAAAGAGAACAATAACGAAGAGATTGGTGTAAGCTAGTGTAATAATAATAATAGTAATAATGAGGGAACGAAAAGGTACAATCAGAAGAAATCTTTCAGTTAAGGAAGATACAATCACTTTTTACGCAGAAAGTAAAAGAAGGTTACAGCAGGATCGCCACTGGCTTCTATTCTGAGCCATATCTGATAACGTCTCTAGCCACTGTGTAGCACCATCTCTCGGACCCCAACCAGGGAGTCGTGAAGGACCAACACAAGCCAGTCCTTTGCAGCTTTCTTTCATGCCACGACACCATGTCATGCACTGACCACCTCTCCGCTTCTTCCAACCAGTCCCAGAGTCGGCAAATAATGCACGACGTGGAATTCTCTGGGACGACATTCGGAGAACATGTCCAAGCCACCGAAGTCGGTGTTTCAAGATGGTGACACCAATTGATTATCATCTCTGTGCCCGAACACACGATGCCGAACCTCTGCATTACTGACATGGTGTTGCCACTGAATGTCAGCAATCCTTCGGAGACAGCGATGATCGAACACAGAGAGTCGTCTAACGTCCTCAACTCGGAGAGGCCAGGTTTCACAAGCATAGAGCAAAACTGCTCTCACCGACGCGTTGTAGATCCGACCTTTTACAGCCAGACTAACATCACGAAGGCGCCAAAGGTGGCCCAGATTGGCATAAGCCGCTCTGGCTTTCACTATTCGTGCATTGATCTCATCACTCACACCCCCACCAGCACTTATGCAGCTACCCAGATACACGAACTTCTCGACTACGTCTATCTGCTCACCATCCAGGGTGAGTACAGGATTAGAATCCTGCCAGTCTTGTAGAAGTACTTTGCACTTCGAAGGTGCAAAGCACATACCATACCTACGGACACTGATTGCCAACTGATTAAGTGCGGATTGCATGCCTTGGGCATTATCGCACAGTAAGACAATATCGTCCGCATACTCAAGGTCGAGAAGTCTTTCTCCAGGCAACAGATCCACACCACCATTACTTACATTCATCAGAGCTGTTTCCAGAATGTCATCGATGGCAAAGTTGAAGAGGAATGGTGAGATTGGGCAACCCTGCCTAACCCCACTGCTCGAATGGAACAATGGAGAGAGGTGGTTGTATGCCCTCACTCTGCCTGAGGTGTTTTTATATAGGGCTTTTAGGATGTTAATAAACTTCTCAGGCACACCCTTCTTCAATAGACAATCCCAGAGAACAGTCCTGTCCAACGAATCGAAGGCAGCCCTGATGTCAAGAAACACTACGATTGTTGGCCTTTGATAAGTATGGCGGTGTTCTAACATTTGGCGGAGGGTGAAGATATGATCAATACATCCTCGACCAGAACGAAACCCAGCCTGCTCCTCGCGAGTCAATCTTTCTCGGGTTTTGAACAACCTACGAAGTATGACGGAAGCCAATAGCTTGGACGCAATCGGAAGTAGACTTATCCCCCGATAGTTGTTACAGGAACGACGTGAACCCTTTTTAAAGATAGGGACAACTATCGACTCATTCCATGACGTTGGTACACTCTCTAGTTCCCAAACCTTTGTAAACAACGTCGTCAATTCCTTAGTCAAAAAGTCACCACCATCTTTAAAAAGAGCCGGAGGTAAGTCATCTGGGCCAGGTGATTTGTAACGCTTCAAGAGTTGGAGTTCCTTGCGGACTTCCTCCTCATTTGGTGGATCAGTCGTCACCGGCCATGGAGGGCAGGACAGTCTGACCGATGTTGCCGGAGCAGCAGGCCAGTTGAACTGCCCTTCGAAAAATTCTGCCCATCGTCCAAGACGTCGATGGATGTTAGTGATTGGCATCCCATCATCCTCGCAGATTGTTTCACTCACACCAGACTTCTTGCTGCCAGTGGCTCGGATGAGCTGGAAGAGCTTCCGGTAGTTACCAGATGCAGCTGCTGCTTCCAGCTCATTAGCACGCATCGACCACCAGGCTTCTCGGTCCTTACGCAAGCTTTGCCCAATTTCCTTACGTAACATCCTTCGTTTATGGTCAAACTCACGGTCACCCGGAGTAGACCGACGGGCTTCAATGAGTTGTAAGGAACCAGAAGAAACCCAGTGCTTAAAGCGGGACGTTTCGCAAACCCACAACTGACTGTTCCCGCCATTTTCATGGCGTCATGCAATTGCAACCAATGCTCATCTATACTTTTCGGTGGAGTGGTAGCTAGCCTAGAGGCTAGCTCGGTTCGATACTTACTTGCAACAGAAGTTGCAACCAGCTTGCTAACATCAATCCGTTGATGGCGGTCACTTCGTTGTCCACTGAAAAGTAAGGCAAGATTGGCGCAGACCAAGGCATGGTCAGAGTCCAGATAGGTACTCCAAAAGGAGCGGCAGTCTTGTACACAACCACGCCAGCGGTAGCTGATCGCGATGTGATCAATCTGAGTCCAGGCTTGAGATGCAGAGGGAGGACGCCAGGTGGCACATCGGCGATGACTGTGCCGAAAGTTAGTGCTAGCCAGAAACAGGTTGTGGTCTGTGCAAAGTTGCAGTAGACGGTCCCCGTTATCTGACCTGCGACCAACGAGTCCCCATCGGCCACCTAAACGACTCTCTTCTGTGCCTAGACGCCCGACCTGAGCATTCAAGTCTCCGGCTAGTACTACAATATCTGTCGAACGCACTTTCTGGAGAAGAACAGATAACTGGTGGTAAAACTCATCCTTGATTGCATCCGGGCTGCAATCTGTCGGGGCATAGGCGGAGATGACGAAAAGACATCGTTTCTCACGCCGATTTCTTCTCACTTTGATGGAACTTTCTAATCTAACAGCACATAACCGACTGTTAATGGGGATCCAATCGACTAGTGCTGCCTCAGCTCTAGCGCTTAGTGCGACACCAACGCCAGCAAGACCAGACGAAGATGCCACAGGGTCCCCGGATAAGCGCACGTAAAACAAGCTTTTCGAAGCGACAGATGGAGATCGAATTTGTAGTACTTCGCCAGAGTCTTGAATACGGGTCTCGGATAGACAACAACATCGATATTAAGACTTTCCAAAGACATAGCCAGCCCTATCTGTTGTCCGACCTGCATAAATGTGCGAACGTTGAAGGCAGCCAGTTTGAATGGTGCACGTGGTTTCAGAAAAACTGCTTCAGTACTCATATTCGGTGGTAACATACAATTTTCAACCGGACAGTGACTGGAGAACGTTCAGATAGAGTCGAATTTCCACCATAGGCAAGCTTCTGTATAAGTCGAAAAAATAAGTATAGACAGAGTAGGAATAAAAGAGGGTGAATAATGATGTAGTAAATAATAATAATAATAATAATAACAATAATAATAATAATTTTAATTTGAATCATTTGATTGTTAGTCGAAGCAAGAAAAGTAGTTTCCATAATTATAGACAGTTCATCATTTGTATGTAGGCTGTGACACTGCTCGGGTGCCCAGACGGAAGCAGGTATGACTATGTTTGTTGTCTGCACTTATACCTGGAGTATTCTGCAAGTTCGTGTAAATGTTTAGTTGTATAAATCCTATCTGAGGTGTTACAAGCATGATCGGTCATCGTATAACGAAAACCGCTGCATCATATGCAGATTTAGCCCATCTTTCACAAAGTTTTGACTTTAATGGGATTATAAATGTCTGTTTTACAACACATGTTTGCTTTGTCCGCGCGACATGTAGTCTTCTCATAGTATGTATTTCGTCATTTCTGTCTTCGTGGTATTACACACTTTCAATGACAATGCTATGTAACAAGTATTCGGAGACGGCAGAAATCTTAATTGAACCTGTAGAAAGTAATTCCCTGCAGATGCAATTCGAAACTAATCCCCAGATTGTTAAGCACAGAGTCTTAGCTTAGCTTGAGTCAGATCAAGTGAGGTATTTAGGTTGATAAACTCTGCCATTAGTATGCAAAAACAAATAATACAGTCTATCAAACAAGGAAAAAGAGCGACGTAAATGACATACCGAACAGTAATTAGGGCATAGGAAAAATAAGTCGACAAAATAATTTATTTTATGACAAACGTGAAAGATTATGATTGATGAACAAATAAGGGATAGTCATACGAAGTCAAAGAGAGTCAATTAAGTGGTGGGCGTTAAATACTGTCATTGGTGGGTTCAATAATCAATCACACCTTACAAAACCTGTAAATCTGTTTTTAATCACGGTGTTTAGCGGTTGATGATTTATGAACAATTAATCTTGACTTTTCACTTTGTCTGAAAAATTTAAATTGGTTACTTGTAGCATTGCATTTTAATAAAAGAGAAGATTTTGATCTTTTAGAGCGTTGCAGCCTCTTCAATGTTGTTTGAATCATCGAGCTCACAGTTGATTATATATATACTAATCCATCCCAACCAACCACTGGTAATCGTAGTAGTGTCATACTTCGTTTTTAATTAAATAACTAAAAACGCCATTAAAAGATTATTAAATGCATCTATTTCGTACAACTTTTTCCAAACGTTTTAGTCACTCATTGACCCATTCCATTCAATCTTTCTCATTCGCAATATTATTAATCTGTTTTTTTATCTTTTGCGTGGTTTTGTTTACTGCATAAAGTCTATATTTTGGGAATATTGTGGTTAAAAACATGGAAATGCTTTTATCTTGCTTTTGCAGGTTACTCCTCAAATATTGTATCACTTAAAATTGGATAATGTTGGTGAATTAAATCCAGATTTCGGTTCGCTTTACGTTTTTACTTGTTCTAATTCATGTGAACTTCCTAGAAGAAAAAAATGTACAGAAGTATCACCTTCTAAATGTGATAATGCGTTTATTGAATATCAACGTGAAATTGTCATTCGTCAAATGGTTCCATAATTGATTAACAATTATTTTTATGTGAAGGGTTAGATGGCTTGATTTTAAAATAAAAATTGATCCAAGTACAGATTTGATCAGTAGTTCTGTTGATTAGATATTGATATAAAACTGTGTAAATCGGTATCACTTTCTTTTTACGGTGTTAGACATTACTACTATCAGTTATTATAAAAGCACATAAAGTTCTCTTTCACTATTTTGTTAAATGTTGGAACGCATCTGTTTTCGTTATTATTTATTATTAATCTGTTGATTTAATCAATTAGAAAAGCATTTAGAATTTTATTGCTACCACCAAACTGATCGACAACTATTAAATTTTAGAGCACTGAAACGATAATCCCTGTCTGTTCATATTAACTTGTAGTGTCTACACCATTGATAGGTCTGTATCGATGGCGTAAGCAGATAATTATTATCGACAAATTGCATTTATGTTCTATTGATTTGCAATAATTCTTTATATACAATGAGGGTCTATGCAACTCTTAATTAGTGCCACCTAGAAGAATTCCTTTCACACTGTTACATCAAAACTTATCTAAATAACATAAAATATCGAAGTCCAAATATATATTTCCGCAATTTATAAATTTTCCAAGTTGCCAAAACAGAAATCTTGGAAAAATTAACTCTAGAAGTAATGAAAACTGGATATTTAAACGAAGATACCGGTATCATCTTAAAGTTTACAACATTCTTTAGCAGGGTGATTAGCCATATTCCTTCATAAACACAACCACGTTAGGTGACTAAAGTCAATTAGCATTCAGCTTGACCACTTAGGGTCCGTTTGGGATAGTTGAAACAATAAGAATTGTCAATCTATCGAAGTACTGAGATGTGGGTGATTGTAAATTTTCAGTAATTAGTATGACGAAACTCAATAAATCAATGAGTAAATCATTTTCTTGTATATAATATAGAATAAATGTGATCAGAAGATAATTTTTATACAAGACATCGCTGGAACTAATTAGTTTTCTGTATATACCCTGACTGTTGTTGGGTGCTATATTAACAGTTACTGTTTATCATCGAAATTATTAGTCTTTAACTACGATTAGTCGTTGGAGACTAGGTGACATGTCTCAGAGTTGTACACAATGACACAGGTGCATTCACTTTTGATTTTAAAATCCAGTACTTCTTCATTCCTAAACCAACCTCATTGTGATTTATTGAATATGGCAGAATGACATAAAACACTATAGGAATGGTAAGATACCAGATGCCTGGTTCGCTCCATTCTCTCCCATGATAATTTTAAATTGGTAAGTCGAAATACATTTCAATGCCATGGACCTGCATAGTGGATTTTTTTCGCAGTTCTCACACCAGTATCATCTTTTCTAACTTTCTGAAGTAATACAGTACATTCGTTTTGTAAACCATTCGGAGCGGTAAGTTATATTTCTGATAGTGAAATATCAAATTGTAGTATTCTACTTTCACTCGCGAAATTTCTATGAATGCACGTAAAATAGGGAGATCATTATATTATCAGGTTTATGAATATCTGAATGGCATCCCGCAGGGAAGTTCCTAAAATTGGCCATTCGTATACTATTATGGAAATATTATATTCACTTGCTAGATTATTAGAATAAATCCATGTTTTGTTAATAAAAAGGATTTGTTAGTTCTGCTAGATTTCGATACATACATATTTATGATTACACCATTAGAAAGTCTTTAGATCCCACTATTAACATTTTATTGTTCTTCATTTATTATCAGCAACATTGTTAAAATATAGAATTACAAAGAGATCATTCCGTGCGGTGGATTGGTGGTCAAGCGATTTGACTTTCAAGCAGTAAGTTGCAAGTTCGGTCCTATTCCGAATAATTTTACTCAGGTGGTCGGATAAATGACGGTCTTGAATTTAGGGAATAGAATATATCCAGTTATTACATCGTCTTTTGTTGTCTTACGATTAGTGAAAACATTCTGAAGCTTAAATTAACTACTTGTAAGTAGTAGAAATGTCTTTAAAAAATAACTCGGTCGCTTTAACACTTCAGATTGAACGATAGCTGAATTTTTGATTAGATTGAAGGAGATAACTAACTGGTAACTATGCCAAGACTTTGTTTCATTTACCTGATGAAAATTCAATAGATAAGTTGATATTATAAAGTATATTGTTGAATTTCGCCAATAATTATTTTCAAAAAATTAAAACGTTTTGTCTGTATAAATTTACATTTTGTCCGGTTCGTTGTAAAATCTTGCGGTTAATTTTGTTATTTTCTTATGCTCTGTGAGTAAATCGCTAATGAGGACATTAATTTATACGACCTAGGCATTGTACCAAACCAGTCACACGTTAACCAGTACGAGCAGCGTAGAGTTAACTCTGAGTATTGATTCTTCTCTCCTAGCTCTGTCCGTTTGAGTCCAGAACGCAATCTCATATTTCACTGTTTGAATAGTTCGTTTTAGAAATACATAGCATATATACAAGTAAATCATACCATAAAATAGAAAGTAACAATTATAACAAGGCCAGAGGTGACTGTGAGTATGAGATACTGTAACTAATAAATTCGGAATAACTTAAGAATGGCAAATCGTGTAAGAGTAGGTAATAGGTAGAATGAAAGGTTCATGAATATATATATAATCTAGTTACTCAATAGTTATCCAACTAGAATATATGCAATAATAGTCCATAAATAATTCCGAGCAGTTACCATTCATATATTTTTCGTTAGGATATGACAAATTTCATGTGAATTGAGTCGACCGAGTGCTGCAGAATAAGTTTGGAATCAATGTGTGCAAACCGATCATTCTTCAGTAATCATCTTTACTTTAGTTGCGTTGTACACTTAGTCAAATTATTTTGACCAAGTTTTCAATTTGGCAACTGAACTAAATGGCTGGACAGATCGGTGTGTCTTATATAAAGGTTTGGAGGGATTATTGAGTAACAGTAGACCTGTGTTTCGTGTTGGTTGACATGCATCGGCAAGTTGTATCTACACGAAGAGATGAACTGCATATTATGCACTGTCTGATTTATGCAATCGTGAGAGTGACAGCAAGTCAGTAACGACCTGACCAGCCTAGTAGTAATGTTTCTGGTTAATGTATGTCCTCACATCTGAAGACTCGTTATTATCCCAGATGTCAACCAAAATGAGATTTGTTTTCACGGTGGTTTTGCAACAATCTCTAATGATTGAAAATGAAAATCAATGATATGTATTACAGTTGAGTCTTTTAATTTCCAACCTGTGGATACTTTCAAAATGAGTTTCAGGTTATGATTTTAGTAACGACATTAGTAATCGCTGGGATACATGCATCGTAATCTCAAAACTTAGTTTTAGGATCAAATGTGATTTTTTCAATGTCATTAGTTGATATCATGTAAACACATTGTCTACGCAGGAAGTAGTAATACTTGATGTTATTAGTTGGATGCTGACAGTCGACACATTTGAACTCAACTTGTCGAGTGTTGCACAGTTATAAACCGAAGGCAAGAAAAGACGGTTGTGCGGTATCGTGAGTTGATTGAAGTTAGACAATAATATCACTGGATATTGATTCCGTGATTTAGAGGTTAAGTTTTTACGTGAGAGACCGAAGGTCTTGGATTCTATGCTGTATAGTTGGGGAGTGAATGGGCATTGCTGAGGAGGCTCATGTTAGATCTAACAGCTATTCAGTCCCCCCTGGTTTTCAATCGCGGTCTAGCTAATATCAATTCGTGATTCAAATTTTATCTTAAGTTATATCAGGTATCATGTATTTTGTTTCATATTTTGACGGTCACGTTTAATTATCTGAGTAAGATGAAAAATCATTAAACTTTTTTTCGACGACATTTTAAATGGTTGCTTGTTTATAATTTTCTGGCAACATTTAATATAGAAATAATAAATTAGATTAAATTGTCGACCCAAGGTCATCACAGATTGAGTTACATATACTTCAATATTAAAATAATGAAAAACTACATATTTATTCTTGTATATAATGTAAGTTATTCTACGTGTTATTGTACACTGACATCCCTTCATTCTTGCCTCTTGTCGAAAAAATACCCCACCCCAAGTTTCATTTAGTTAAAGTTATTCAAGGTCATTCTGATGATGATGAAGTTTGAAATCCAATTCTAATTTGTCAAATTTACTGTTTTATCTATACAATACGAGTATTTCAAATAATTACAAAAAGGTAATCTTAATATTATAAATGAACAGATGTTATGTCAATTAATTTAATTTTAACCCATTTTATTTATTATAAACAAAATGATAAGATTTTATGTCATGGAATTAAGATTTTTGGTGAATAAAACAATTTTCAATTGTGTTTAGCAGAATGTAGATTTACTAATTAATTATGATGTGGACTAAAGAGAAGGAAAATAGTTTTTTGTATGTTTTTTGACTGCTAACATAAATTCATACTTGGTACCAAAAAAAATCGTGGATAAATAATATTTGAATAAAAACAAATAGGTGAAAATGAATGGTGTTTAGAGTCTACTTTTATAATAATTGAATAAATATATAAAATCAAACATTTTATTTTAACTAATCTACCACTGCTGTTTCAGTGCTGATTGATAGATAAGTACTTGAATATAATATAATTGTTAAGAAATGTCTTTAATTATACTTGACAACTACATAAAAACTCATGTTTAGTTCGAATAAGTTCAACCAGTTGGAGCCATATGTTAATAATACCTGTGGCTGACGTATTTGTTTTCCTTTTATAACTGACTGACCAAGTATTCAAATCACTACTGATTTCAGTATATTTTCTGGACACATTTTAGCTTCATATTAGAGAGTGATAGTGGTCTACGGTGACATAATCGTTCAGTGTTCAACCTTAATAATTATCGTTGACATGACTTATATTTATTAAAAATATTGCGTATTAAATTCGTTTATTCAAAGGATTACGCACTCTGTTTTTAGCTGCATTTTATTGAAGAACTAGTGTACACAGACTGTTTCGTGTTCAGCGATAAGTAAAAATATTCATAAAAGCTTCCTATCATTGATTTTTAACATTCTGAACATAGGTTGTTTTTTTAATTATTTTAACAAAATGTTATTCAGAAGGTGAAATTTAAGGTGTTCCTAAATTCCTTGATCAATCACTGATTAGTGATTCCTGATATACTTATTACAAACTATCACTTATGTAAGGGACTCAATATTGAAAGGTATTTTTGTTACTGACAGAAGTTTGACAGATTTAGGAAGGCTTTATTTGATCTACCATTCATACTCACTAATACTCTGATTTCTTTGGTTATTGCGATAGACTGATCAACGCCATATTCAAACACGCAATCATTAAGGTTTTGAGAATGTCACGGGTCATACTTCAAAAATAACTTGTCTACATTAGTCATTCACTGGTTACTAATGAGTAAACGGTTGTATGGTTATGCGTTTCACTAAACAAACATAGGTCTATGGATCTGACTTTCGGCCATTCTATTTTTAATTTGAACAATTACGATGCTGCCGGTTTGGCTTAGACCAAATTAGGGGAGGCAGGTTCAGAACCTGCTACCAACTAAATGATTTGTAGTTATTCTGTTGTTCTAAAAATGCATTGGTAATCCTAGTCTAGTTTATTCAGATGTTTAAGGTAGCAACAGGCTGCTGAACAAAATCATTCTGTACATAATTATCATTTCAGTTCCAATGATTGTCACAGTAAAAATGAATCAGTTTCCTATGCAGGGTTACATCATATATCTTAGCTAGTAAATAAAAAAATTCAATAATGAAATGAAACTTTTTGTTTCCGTTGAGATGACTATGAATAGCTTTATCCTAAAGTCTGCAAATGTGAAAGCACGTAAGATAACGACAAATCGTCTGCGGTTATTCTGAAGACAATGTAATGTATTTATTTGAGGATACTGATCATCAAATAGGGCTTATAGTGAAAGAAGTAATAAAACCAAATTTTTTCTAGACAAGTTGAAAAGTGTCAAATTGACTGACACGATGCCTATAAGTTTTTGCTCCCCAATTTGGTTCTTAGTATTTACGGAATAGAGTTCACTTACCAGAAGAGATAAAAGAAATTCTTCGTTTAAGTTCTGTCACTATTGAAAAACTATTGTTATCTTTCTTAATATTGGTTAATCAAACAAGTGAACCGTTATTTTGTAAAACTAAATTAAATATATCTATTAACAACTAATTCGGTTTTATCTGAATGAGAATTTCATTACAACAAGATTCTTTTCTTAAATAATGTACTAGAAAAATATTTAGAATAAATACGTGTACTCTGAAGAAAATATTCGTTTAAGCAAACTATTATCGAACGAACAACTAGTGAAAGTGAGGTTCCATAGAACAGTCAATTCCCTTCATGTTTTTTCTGAACTATTCAACTATCCTAGTTTCTTAAATACAATCGATTCATGTTGTAATAAGATTCTCGTCTAATAATATTGGTGTTTTACTTATGATCCAATATACAATGTGTTGTTCATGTATAGCACCTCAAAATTACACCAATTTAATGAACAAGTCTAATATTTAGTTTTAAGTCTTTTGTTAATTAGCTGAACGAATAAATTCGGATTTCATTAAAATTATGTTATTAGGACATTTTACTTCTGGTACAACACTATGCTACTGAATAAGGAAATAATAAGTAATATATAATCTCACAACAAACATAATTTCACAAAATCGTAACTTTAACTAGGCAGTTAAAGATATTTTACGTAAATGCTATTAGTTGCATTTGTTAATTATCGCTCCCTCTCTTTACATTTTATATCATGATAATGGAATTACAAATCATCAGCTTTAATTTCGTTCTGCTTCACTTGTCTTCATCAGTTAGGTTTAAAACAACAGCAAGATTATTTATAATTCTATAATAATAGTATCTGTTATTATTATTATTTTTATCATTATTATTTGTGTCATTAATGGTATTCCCATTTGTTTTACCACCATTTTTTGTTGTTGCATTTTTTCATTGCAAAGTGTTGTTATCATTCATGAAATTAATCACATTTTGTAACATTTTGAACTTATAAATTATCTTCTATTTCTTCTACTATTTTTCTTCTCTTTTTATCACAGTTATTGTAATGTGAAAATCTATTCAACCACATAGTATTATATATACAATTGTTGTCGTTATAATAATCAAAATAATAATAATATTATTATTATAACAAAATTCAGAGCTAACGATGGTGGGTGGTTAACAGAGCTGTTTGTGTGTTCTCACCAACGCGTTGGCCACTATGTGTACATGTGAATGCATAGAGAAGAATTTTATCTTATATAGACAAGTACAAAACAACATTAATTGTATGTATGCACTTTGTATGTTTGCAGGTATTTCCATAAGTCTATTATAGCTATTCTATATGAATTGTGATTATTTGTCTGTTTGCTTAATAATGTGTCGTATACTGTCTTTTCACTCACCTATCTTCTAATACAAGGGCATACAATCATAAGATATAATATTATTTATTTTATTCTAACTAAGAATATCATACTGTTTAGTTCTTTCTATAAAATAATAATAGGAAGTGTTAGTTTCTTTCTGTTTTAATTTATGTAAATCTGATGACTATTTGTTGTCATTTCGCCTAACACCATTTATAAAATTATTCTTATTTATTCTTATCATTATATTTTAGAAAAGGGTACTTGTCTAAGAAGTGATTATTTATTTGTTTTATTAGATGTGCTTCATTGGTTACAAAACCACAACATCTACGCTACTCAGTACAAATATGTGTAAATATAAGCAGATTTTTATCATTACAATGAAATGTGACTAACCAATTACTACTACAACAACAACTGCTATTACTGTGGTATGTGCTACTTATGTCGACATAAGTAGTATATAACGCTAGTCAAAAATAGAATGTCTATCATCAGAAGGTTGAGAGGATCGAGGAGGAAAGAACGGGAAAAGAAAGTAATTGGTATGGAAATGCAGGAACAAAGAAGTCTGAGACAGTGAAAATTTCGCAAATAAATTATTTAGTGTATAGTTCTCAGATTTTTCTATGTTCTGTAATTTTATATTCAAATATATTCGATTGTCCCCACTTGTGTTCTCGTTCACTACGTTACTACGACTACTACTACTAATATTGGAGACAAATAAATGTGAAATAATTGAACGGTAATGTATGAACTTAATTTTATTGGGAGTTTTGATAGTTTCTGAGTTGTTGGAACTGAGGAGAATCGTAGTGTTTGAGGATAATTATACTACTAATAATTTTGCAGATAATAATAATGTCATATATGCATTCCAGACAGTTAGGTATGATTGTTTGCTGAAATTCATAGAGTAACACAGTCAACCTTTTTAAGTTTATGTATATGATGACGATTTCAAGTAACAGTCGATGAATAAATTAGTTATGCGGTTTAGACTAATAAGTCAACTATTATGTGATACCTTTAACTATTCACACTAATGTTGCAATTTTTGTAATTATTCGAATACGATGTTCACAACTTGGATTGTTCATTTTTGTATGAGAACTCGGAATATCTAAGTGACAAACATGAACTGAAGTGAATCAATAGATTTCCTCCATAATAAAGTTCTAATCTAGAATCATTTGTATTTTTCATAGGTATGTTCTCCTGCGCTGCTGCGTCTCAACTATATTACTTATTTTAATCTTTCGAAGATAGAAAATAACAAGGTGTTATTGAAGGTATATTGGACAGTTAAAAACACTTGGTTAGACGAAAATTACTGCTATTTTTCTTGCTACCTATCTTATATAAAAAAAATTAATACAAGATCCATCAAGGGATTAGAATTATCATATTCGAAGTGTAACTTTGAATGTGCTAGCTGATACGTATGCTCTGAATTACGCTTTTTATTAAAGGTAGTTGAGAAGTGTGTTAAGCTGTATTTCGCTCTTTATACTTATTATATGAGGCCTCGGTCAGTTCGTAGTATTTATTTAAACACGAATAGCTAATTAAATCAGCTTTGATTTTAATCGTGTTTACACTAAAATTAACCTCTCTGATACATGTTTTATAAACATGAGAAGTGGGATTGTCATCGTCTAACTTCCCTTCGTATGTATTAACTGATCAAATAAGATGAAATTTGCGTAAAATCAACCTATTTAAATGGTAGACTTGGAATTTAAGTATGATTGAATGAAATTTCATATCAGGAGCTGTTCAGTGATGATGGGAAAACGTTGACTTCATCACCTTCATTTGAGAAGAATAGTTAGTAGATAATTATTTGAGGTAAATAGTTCAGTAGATGTTTAAGACGTGACTCTTGTATTTTCAGATTTAATGACCCAAACTGTTTGGAGTTGGACAGTTAAACGCCCATAACTTACTGAATCTTACTATCCCATGTGTTCAGACTAACTAGTTTGTCAATATAGCTTGCATAAATTTCAATCTCATTATACAAATATCACTCCACTCCATTTTATAGACTGGTTAGTGACCAATCATTAAACTGTTATAAACTAGAGGGTTGTTTTTTAAATTAATTGTGTCCGGCAAGACGAACCTTTAGGTAGATGGTGGACTATAGTTCATATAGTTTAATTACGTATTTTGTTTGATCAATATTTTCTGTTCACTCCAGTTGGACGAGAATGATGTGACTGCTTAACTCACTTAATCTTTTGTTAAGGTCACACCATGAGAGATGCACTCAGCTTGATGGATAAACTGGCTGGAGTTCAGTGTTCTTTCAGTGACTCTACGAAACAAATATCTATTACAGTTTTTTTTGTTGACCACTGTTTTCCAACTTCTAAATTCTCTTTTAAAATACGGGGTATGGTGTTTATATTGTATTTCCGTAAAATACATGCTGATGTATCACCGTGCCTCCAGACTGCTAGTTAGATTATTAGAATTATTTTCTACACAAGACTTATACTCATTACTACAAAATAAATAAATTTAATGATTTACTGACAATAGAACTAACTGTTCAATGAGATCCAATCTAATTGTATTTTTCTGTATACAAGCATATATATATATATATATATATATATATATATATATATATATATATATATATAATGATTGGAATTAATAAATAAATAAAACATTGTACAATAAGTGATATTCAGCCATGCGTTCCAATCGAGGTCAGTTAAATGAAGCTTATCCCCTATGACTATCATTCAATTTAACTGATTCCTTGATTGTTCCATTTAAATTTTGACGTCACGTGTTTGTATATATATTATAATGTTTTGGTTCAACAGTTTGAATGCTATAAAAACATGTGAACTTCTCAGCAGGAGTCTTTATTGATAGATAAAGTTGTTTCTTTGAGTGATATTTTTAGGAACCAATCAGATTTTTGTTTCCCGAATTTGTATGAAGTCATTAAGGTGAATTATTTTATCAACAGGAATTCTATAATATATTTTGATTAAGTAAAAACAGATGAGAACAACCATGTAACAACTTTCGTTTAGTCTGTAAAGTTTATTGAATTCAGAACGACGTCTAATGGCAACACTAAAATAAATAACAATCTTAAAGACTCGTTTAATTTTAATTGCTGCAAATCATTAAATGGCCAACTTCATAGAGAAACAAGCGTATAAAGCAGTTATCAGAAATATTAAAAATGAAAGCAAGCTATTTTTAACAGTTACGATGCATTCAACAAATCCACGATACATAACATAGGAGGATACTTTTTAGTACAAAATGTTTTATGTCCACCAAATGTGTTGCAAGTCATTTGCAAGGCAAATGTTTTTACTTTCGTCTCCAGAAATGTGCTTTGTTCATTTAGTAGTAATCTCAGTCCTTTTAATCATTCAAGTGAAATTTTGGAGGACGGCTAGTCCGTGGAGAATAATGATAAATGATATTAGCTTAAACTTCTGATCATCGATTACTCGTGGCCAAAACATCATATGTTTACAGTCTTCAGTACTGACTGAATTCCATCTTTTAGTTTTACAATATGGTTACTAAGAAAAGTGACTCATTACCAATTTAGGACGTATTAGGTTTTATTGAGTTGAAGACAATCAGAGTGAGGAATTACTAAATATTTTCTGGTGGATTCACACTAACCGTAATCAATGTTGTGTTTGAAACTACTTATCCATTGTATGGTTTGAATATACTGTTTATAATAATATATAAACAAACAATCTGGTTTCGTTGGAGAAACCTAGTTGTGGTTATATACGGATTTGTGGTTATTCGTGTAACTAAATAATCAAGCAAATCTTTCATAATCCATTTCTAAGTGAATGGGATAATTTCTGTTTCATTGATCTTTACTCATATTTGCTTCAACGTATTTTCGACAACAAGAAGATTCGTAGTTTAGAAAAAAGAAATATAAGTATTAGACATAAACTAAACTGTCATTTATTGATTCACTAAATGAACAAAAAAGCACTTTCGTTTATAATTCAATAAACGATTCTTTTATTTGTGTCTTTAAATTGTGCCTCACAACAAACCTTTCAACAATCTAATCACATTTAGAATTTCGGCAAGTTAGAGAACATTTGTCAGCATCAACAATTTAGAAAATTCACCCACTGTCATGTATATATATAACGTAATATGTTTGAGACGTTTAACAAAAGGAAAAACGTTCTCCCAAAATATTTTCAGAAAATCATCCCCGCTAGTTACGTTCTAAAGGATTCTTTTAAAGTATCATAAGATATTTAAAGTATTAATTAAAATTCTTCGTACTCATACTGAGCATTCTAAGGTTATTTAGTTATCTGCGATCATCATTAACTGATTTTTTTTTATAAACCGAAGCTAATCTTTGAGTAAATCGCAAAACTTCAATTTGTTTTTTAATTAGTTAAAGTTTAAGAGCATGAAGTAGCTGAAGTTTAGTCTATTCCAATAGTTTAAGCGTTTTTTTAATATACGTTTGTTGATTCAATATTCAAGGGAAATAGTCACAAACAATAAGTAAATTATATAATTAAGGGAATATCAATTACATTTAAATTATACACACTCTAAAACAACAAATATCTGAGCAGTTTTTTTTCTGAGATAGAAAAGATTTATTTATAATCTAATTAACCACAATATATTCATTATTATTGTATGCATTCATAAACAT